AGAATATATCTGTTCTATACAAAAAGAATTTCAAAGACAAGGATTCTGTTGGGTAAGTGTGAGGTCATGGAGCAGAGTTAAACAGATTTTTGGGTTTTGCAGTAGGACTTGTCAGAGCCTTTGAGATTAATATGCATCGAGGTTTTCTGAGACAGGAGACTGCCCAGTTTTTCCCAGATTTCCTGGATGCAGAACTCTTTTTCAGAGGAATCAGCTCAGAGGACTCACGGGACATACTTGCGAAAAGCTGCTCCAGGACCTGGCCCAGCCACATGAAGTGTCACATAAGAACAGAGTCAAAACTCTACATTCTGAAGCCTGACTCCCAAGCTCAGCATCATTTTGCTCACCTGATACGCTGGCTCAGCTAAGGAGGCTGCCAGACGGTGAGTGTAGGAACTCCATGTGTAAATGAACAACTACCACTTCTGTAACCCAGACTGAATGTGAGCAGTCAGTACTTCAAGAATGACCACAGTGGGGTAAACAGATAAAATTGAGGTCCGAATGCACCGAGCTGAGCACACACCCCAGCTCTGCATCGACTCCCCCTGTTCTTCACAGGATCCTGCCTAGAAGAATCAACTTCCCTTTCTTCACGAACTCCTGGTTTCTACGGATTCCTTCCAGCCTGAAATCCTAAAATTCAGACCACTTTATCCATATTATTTTAGATGTGGCGATTTACCTCCCTGATAACATCCTCCACCATAGAATCTGTGACTCTGTGACAATGTGTCTACAACGCTGACATTTTTTGTCAGTGCCCTTTCTCATTCCATCCCCCTGCTTCCTCACATTCCATGCATTCATCCAGAAAACATTTGTCACACACCGTGTTTGGTGTTGAATGAAAGAACAGGGAAGACATACCACCACATTAGAAAACTGTCTGGGGCCAGCTGAGTGGCTCAGTTGGTTAAGAGCTTGCTTAAGAGCGTGAGCACTGAGCAACAGGGCTGCCAGTTCAATTCTCACATGGGCCAGTGATGCTGCACCAAAGCCGAGCTGTTGCTGAGCTGCCAACAGGTGGCAGGATGGCTCAGTTGGTGTAACAACAAGATGGCCTGTTCGATGGTGGGCTATCCCCACCTGCAACTAAGACTGAACTCGGCACTTTGAGCTGAGCTGCCGCCCGGATGGCTCAGTGGATAGAGCGTGTGCTCTTAAAAAGGCTGCTGGTTCGACTCCCGCATGGGATGGTGGCTACACCCACCCGCAACTAAGGTTGAACACAGCACCTTGAGCTTAGAGGCTATAAGCTGCTGACAGGCAGCCAGATGGCGACTGGCGCCCTCCACAACTAAGATTGAAGAACAACAACTTGGCTGGTCCCCTCCCCCAATTCCCCAATAAAATCTTTAAATAATAATAATAATAATAATTTGTGGGGGCTGGCCGAGTGGCTCAGTTGGTTAAGAGCGCGAGCTCTGGGCAACAGGGTCACAGGCTCAATTCCCCCCCCCACAAAAAAAAGAAAAGAAAAATGGTTATCTATTATAGCTCAATATCCACGTGTTCTGTGACCCAGCAAACCCACTGCTAGACCTGTACTCAACAGAATTGCCTACACTATGCACCAAAAGCCACGTACAAGAGTGCTCATAGCAGCATTATTTGCAGTGGTTCCAAAGTGGAAACGATCCAAATACCTATTAACAGTAGAAACAGTAAGTTAATTGTGGTGTATTCATATAGTGGAGTGTTTTACAGCAATGACAATTCATGAACTACACAACTATGCTCAGACATTCTGTGGAGGTAGAGAAGCCAGCCACAAAAGGCGGCCTGCCTCTGATTCCACGGATGTGAAGTATACAAACAGGCAATGCTGATTTCTGCTGTTAGAAGTCAGGTGCATGGCTGCCCAGGAGGAAGGTCATGACTGGGAAGGAGGTATTGAGGGGGCTTTATGTGGAGCTGCCAGTGTTTTGTTTCTCCATCTGGCTACTACTGGTGTCAGTACCAATGACAGATGAAGCTTCGTCGAGCCATAATACT